GGTTCACGATATTTTACAAGTGGAGTATAAATTTACGAAGTATTTTATAAATATATTATTAAGATAATATGTGGGAAACATCATTTTTATGCAATTTTATGAATGAATTGAACAAATTCATCGATATAAAAATATTTGGGATACAGTAAATCAGTTAAATACTGTCTATAGTTTACGCCAGTTTAAATACAGTTGGTAAGAGCAAGGACTTCGCTGTGGTTGTGAGATTGATATCAAAATGGTCGTCCATGATATCAAAATTGTCAATAAAGATATTTTTTATGAAACACACACGCTTTTATCTCAAAAAAACCGACACAATTATGTTTCTATCCCTTGCAGCCTGTGGCAGGCTTATTGATTGCTAAGATCATTTCGTAATTCGGAATTTCTACCTACCATACTAGCTAGATATATCTAAGCGTATAAATAAAATGAAAAGATTGCTACTACATCGAATCTAATGTTGAGTAAATCTCATTTTTTCTATATTCATATTCTTGTTGCTTTTGCAAAACATTAACTAAAGAAATACTGATACTTTTTATGTAAAAACAGATACAAAATTAAGAAATAAAATAATTCTTTTCTCGCGTTTAAGCCGTGAAGTATTTTTAACATACAAAATGAAATTGAAATCACAGAATATATTTTTTTAACTTTACTGATTCTGAACGAGTTACGGTCCTATTATTATTCCCATCAGACATCTGTAAACGTGATTTTTAATTTGAATCACTACTATTTACGATACACTAACTCTTGCTTATTTTAACTTTTGATCTGCAAAGATCTTTGCTATAAACTTATCTAAAACAGTGTTAAACAGGATGCGACATTACGAAGAAACATACAAAGAGTGGATCGCGGTGACTTCATAAATTGTGTGGAACAAACCCGACCATTATCGTACAGAATAAATCGCATCCATTGGCTCGATTCCAGATGGCGTTAGTATTTTTGGCCTTTGAATGTTCTGGGCCCATTATACAGGAGCGCGCCGCGGTGTCAACCGCTTATAATACCTCAGCCTTATTTTAAAATTCTCGGTTTATCTAACATGGATATCTATAGAGTAAACACTTTATACTTATAGTCGTGTACTTAGATAAAGGTAATCTTAGTAGTGTCACTGTAGTTTTCAAAATAACTGTAAAATAAAAGCAATATTATATTGCAAACTATCCAATTGTTTTTGTGAACTCCACAATGGTGTTTTTCAGCAAGTAGCAAGGTCTAAAACTTCAAAAATTACTGTAGGTATAAAAATTGTAATTAGTATAAAAATGCAAAATTTTTCCTTTCCAAACGTATTATTAGACACTGAATTATCATTTACCTTTTTTTTTGTTATCAGTAGTAGACCCCATAGTTCTGTGGTTAAACGTACTGAAGAAGAGAGAAGGCTGATCTACTGCGTGGTTCTAAATACAAATGTACGCATTAGACACAGTAGAAATGGAATTTCACACTTTATTAACGGTTCGTTGAAATAAAAATCCAGCTAACGTTTGTTTTTGCAAACCAGTCCGTAAAACAAAACCCCTTGTACCAAAGTCCACAAAAACATAATAATTCGTGTCCCCACTTAGGGTGAACCACATAATTATGAGCCTGCGAAGTATTTGCACAAGGAAAATTCTTTGCGATTGTCTCTCTCAAAACTTTGTACAACATAAAATGTAGAGTGACCATATCGCGGCTAATACAATTTAAACACTGTATTTAGTATAATACTAAAGTCCTAAAATTGCGGTGCTGCAAAGACTTGCTTTGGACGAAAAATACCACCTTTGATATAAACTAGATTGTGTGGCCAGTTTATGGATTCGGTTGAAAATTTCTTTTCAAACTAATATTTTAAAGCTGAAGAGTATGTTTGTTTAGACGCGCCTATATTAGGTACTTCTAGTTCAAATTGTAAAAATATTTTTGTGTTGGTTATTGCGTTAATCGAGGAAGGCTTTATAACAATAATGCTGCAATAGGTGCCCAAAAACAGTAAAAAAGAAGAAGAAAGGCGTTGAAAAGCTCAGCGCTATTTTCTGTATGACAAAAATACCTACCTGAAGAACCTACTTCTTTTAATTTGAACGACATAGGAATAATTTTGCACAGTTAAAGTTAATGAAATAAATGTGACGGCACCCTATATACTGTCTTGTACAACATTTGAATACACAGTTTCATGTTTCTCAAAGAATCAACTTATTAAAATCTACAGTCACTCTACTCTGAGAACTGAAGTGAGCACAACAGGGTTACTCTATACAATTCCACTTTTCACTAGAAACATCCGGTTCTTCACAAAACCCTCACTTCTAAGCCATTTCCGTTTCCCTATTTAACCGTAGTCAAATATTGCATTATACCTTTTTATATGTTCAAATTGAACCTGAGACTTTTTAGGAGCATATGTTATTTTATTTTATTTATTAAATAAATAAGGTTTAAGATGACATATGTAATAAAATGTGTTTATATATCTAATTATATAGCACACAGCTAAATTTATAGTTGTGTAAAAATTTTCTCAATTTCGTGTGTTCGCGTTAAAGCGAAAAAAGTAAAGGCATCCTCTAATTATAAGTTTCAGCCTGTCTTCGTGGTTTGGCCGTCAGTGGATTCGAATCTCGGTAAAAAAACAGATTAATATAAAAACGGTAATTGCAACACCTGCTCTGCTTGACCGTAGGGGGAGGGTGGGGTAAACGCGACCGCGGGGCAATCCCGAATTCAACGGTTCTGATGTGTTAGAAAAGATAGGCAATTTTCGCTTGTCGCCATCTTGGAGATCACGCCACCACTAGTGCTAGTCACACAGTGCCCAACCGGAGCGACGCGGACGCACGTCATTTCAAGGGGTGCATTCTTATATAATATTTACAAATTTTTTGTATAATTTTTTTTAAATTCACTTGATGTAACTTAATTTGTATTAACAATATTTATTTCACATTAAATTACTAGAATACTAACTTATTAAGCTTTTAAATAAAAATGATGCAATCGGCAAAAGTGGTATAACCTAAAATATCTATATCGAAAAGCTCAGTGTTTTCTATTTTCTGGGGGGAAAAGGGGGGGGGGGGGTGGGGGGGAAACCCCGATTTTTGTTCATTACCCCCCATTTTTTTGGTTTCCTGTTAATATAATTTTTTTTATTGTTCTAGATGCCTCGTAATTATAAAAGAAAGACGCAGTACAGTCTAGAAGATCTCAAAAGGCTATAATAACGCTATAATGTTCCAAAAACGACATGGAATCATTTTAAAGACACAGTTAAAGTTAATGAAATATAAAAAATTCGTCAAAATTGCTTACCAATATGCTCAGAAGAACAAACCTACTATATTTTGAAAAAAAAAAAAAGGGGGGGGGGGAAGGCTGGTTTTACAATTTCAAGAAGAGGCATCCCCGCCCTTTCTCTGGAAAAACCGGGAGCGACTTCGCTAAACCGAATCACAGCTTTTAATGAACTGTCGTTGTATTTTTTACAGCAATTTGAATACCATACAGATACTCATATTTTAACCAAACAATCAACTTATTAACATCTGAAACAGGTCAACAGTCCAGAGAAATCAAAAAATCGTGAGAACTGAAGTGAGCACAACAGTGGTTACTGCTATACAAATTCCACCATTTTTCACATTTAAAAAACATCCGGTTCATTTCAATGCAAAACCCTCACTTCTAAGCCATTTCCAGTTTCCCATATTTGGATAACCGTAGTCACATATTGCATTATACCTTTTTATATGTCAAATTGAACCTGGAGACTTTTTAGAGCATATGTTATTTTATTTTATTTATTAAATAAATAAGCAGGAAGTGGTTTAAGATGACATATGTCCCACCACAAAAACAATAAAATGTGTTTATAATATCTAATTATATCCCAACTGCAACAAGTTCACAGCTATGAAGATTAGACATTTATAGTTGATTCATGTAGAAAATTTAGATCATCAATTTCGTGTGTTCGAGTTAAAAAGAAAAGCGAAAAACGTAAAAGGCATCCTCTAATTATAAGTTTCAGCCTGTCTTCGTGGTAAATTGGCCGTCAGTGGATTCGAATCTCGGTAAAAACAGATTAATATAAAATACGAGTAATTGCAACACCTGCTCTGCTTGTATTCCCCCCCGGCGGGGGGAAAAAAAGGGGGGGGTTAGGGAAAAAAAAGGGAGGGGTTTTGTTAAAAAAAAAAAAAAAAAAAAAAAAAAAAAAGGGGGGGGGCCCGGGGGTTAAATTTCCCTTTTTTTTTGGTTTTCCCTTGGGGGTGCGTACCCCATCCCGTACTTATTATACCTACATGTGAAATAAATCCAAACGTAATGTATAACATTAAGACAATACATACGTTATAATAATTACGTATATTGTAGTGAAATAATTATACCATCTACAATTAAGATAATGACATAATTTTAAAATTAGTCATTCAAGAAATAACACCTTACGGCCTAAAGTTTCTATTATGTTAAGGGATGTACTAAAGTATGTTCAACACGATGTTATAAATTAGAATTTCGAATATAATATAACTAAATAAAGACATGACATATCTCTGAGCAAGTTGCAGTAATTGATAATTATTATCAGAGAAAGTAGTATCACTTCTGTGCCCTGCCCATTCGATAGTTTATTTGTCCAAGAAACCCAAACCATGGTTACGGTCGGGGAGAAAGTTAACGTTCTTTTCATATTCGACAATCGTATAAAGTGCATTCTAAACGCCTTAACTCTTTAATTAAGACATTATAAGTAGCCAACAACGCTTGACTAATACATAATAATGAATATAATAACAACCTGATAATATTAACAATTATGTGATAATTATGACTTTTAAAAAGCCTTATTCCGCAAGGCCCAATCGGATTATGGCAGTGTTAACAGTATATTATAAAACACAGATGTATGTAGCACATCACTGATCTATCACTAAGCTATTTAAAAGCTTCGCGCTTCAAGATATTATTTCAAACCGGTGAAAATGTTCAAACGCATGTTAAATAAATTGGAGGACCCAAACCGGCCATTTCTGGGCCCAGTCGACAAATACCTGTCTTTCTGGGGAATGTGGCTTCCCAGCGGTTTCAAACGGAGATGTTTCGCTATACTTTTGCACGTTCTCGAAACAATTTTCATAATTACCGAATTCATTGACATTTTCTGCGTTAAAGGAAGTTTGCACTTGCTTCTAACGAACTTAAAGTTTTCTATGCAGGGACTTATAAATATTTGCAAAGCTTGGTCTTTTATAGCTTGGCAGAAGGATTGGCGTGATGTTTGCGACTATGTGACTAGAGCTGACTTGGCTAATAGATCGGGGAATCTGAAGACGAAAAACAATATAGCCAAATACACGCAGTACTGCAGAAAAGTCATGTTCATTTACTGCCAGTTTACTTTTGTCACGGCTTTTGTTGTTATATTTCAGCCCGCTTTCAAATATCTGTTAACTTCGAAATACAGGTATTTTTGTTGGAAATTGTATATGCATATATATCTATATATATATGCATATACAATTTCATATATATATATATATATAGATATATATGCATATACAATTTAGAAATTCCAAATCCAGTGCTATATAATTAGATATATATATATATATATATATATATATATAAAATATTTTTTTTTATGCCTCTCAAAAAATAAATTAAATATTTTGATAAATTTACTCATCTGTTCTTCATATGGGGGGAAAAGAACAAGATGTTAATAAAACCTCAATTTACTTTTATTTGTCTGTTACCAGAATATTTTAAAACCCGCGACATATAAACAATACCCGAATTTAAGCCTCGGATGAGTTAACCAATATCACAATATATTTCGCCTTATCAACCGGTAAATGTGCAGTAAACTACAAACAAAACTAACTCGTAATTTATTTATTCTTCAATGTGTTACGTTACGCAAAATTAAAGTTTTAAATTCATTGAAAACTTTATTATTATTTTCACACGTTTTTGCACATGAAGGCACTATATAATTTAAAAATTTACTCGGTAGCTCGATTGGTAGAGCAACAGCACGGAACGTTGACGATGCCGGTTTAAGTCCTGCACGAGTCGAAAATTTTTTCAAATTATTTTCGATTTTTAAATTATAAATTCATTCTTGACAGTTTTATAGATTATACAGTACTTAGTAATTTTGATTACACAGGGATAACGTCAAATCAGGCGACGAAAAATACATGCAGGTAGTAAGTTCGTGGGTACCATTCAACAAATACGAAATGCCCGGATATTTCTTCACTTGCCTCATACAAGGCTACGGGACGTTAATGGCCGCAGTGTGGATCTCTTCATACGACATGATCGCTCTGTCTGTTATAATTTACATACGGGCTGAAGTGGAAGCGTTGAGAATCGACACGGCGGACATATTTAATGGAGGCGTTCCGTTGCGGAACATCGAATATTGTCATAAGCGCCATGTTGAATTGTTACGGTAGTCTTTGTATCTTTTACACTATCTGTGCTGTGTTGAAATATCATTAAGTTGATACAAATTCGCTCAAATTTGATTACCATAAAAGCAATTCTGGCGAGTTTATCTTAAAAGATGGACATGTACTGTCGCGGACAATTTTAAACGGTTTAAAGGGGAATCATTCTTTTATACGTATTTTTGGTTTTTTGAACCGTTCTCGCAGCTTACACAAAGGAACCCCTTAAAAATAAATAATTATACCCGTCTTTTATAACATTTTCCACTATTTCTTTGCTCTTATTAGTCATGTGTTGTTATATAGCCTTAAGGCATCCTTGATAAATGGTCTATCCAACAAAAAATACATATCATTAATTGGAACTAGTCGTTTCTGACTTCAAACAAACAAGGTCTTCAGTTTTCATAGTATAAATAGCAATGACAGTCATGTAACATATTTTATACGATGTGCTGTCGATGTGTGCTTTCTTGTCTAAAATTTAAATTTGCACATATTGAAACTCAACGGGGTAGAGTATAATATTAATAGGTATATGCAATATTTTAGAATTATATGTGAAAATGTATTTTTTAGGTACAGTCGTCTCTTCAATTCGTGCACGTCGCCAATTTTAATGCTCTACACTTTTATATGTACCGTGATGCTTTGTTCTACGGCGTATCAAATAACTTATGTGAGTCTTTTGAAGTTGACTGTACTTTATTCTACTAAGTCTTATAGGACTCTTGACATTTTATCAAAATTACTGACTTATATAACTTAAACTTTTAATAGAATTTTTTTGTAAAACAATTACAGACACACACAACATTTACTTTAAATTTCGAACTGGCTTGCATAGTTACATAGTGAAAAAACATTATTGTAATAGATCTTAATTATATCATAATTTCAGCTGGAATCAAGTAAAATGCAACAGTTGATGATCGTGATGTACCTTCTGTTTGGTATATTGCAGCTTTTCCTCTACTGCTGGCATAGCAACGAGGTTTATTATGCTGTAAGTAGTGGAAACAATCGAATATTTTATATATGAAATGTGCTGCATACTACAACTAGAATATCTTAAGTATTTAGTTGGTATAAGCTTTAATCTACGAAATACTTTTAAATAAAATAATTTAACGGTTTAAAACGCGATATATTTTAGTTAAACTTGTGTGAAAATTATCTTTAACTACGTGTCTCCCCGTGGACGGCTGCTGCAAAGCTTCCGAAACATCGGGCTGTTCAAGGCTGTTAAAGAAGATTTCAAACAAGTTTAACTAAAATATATCGCGTTTTAAACCGTTAAATTGTTTTATTTAAATTAGCAGAATATATCACCGAATTTTTAGTTCCAGCCCATGCTGTTTCTTCGTTACAGCGCAACAAAATATAAAAAAGTCTCTCATATATGTTTTTCATCTATGATAGACTTTTTTATTGATTTTCAGAGTATGGAGTTAGCTCGTGGTCCATACAAAAGTGAGTGGTGGAAGCAAAACGCTTCAAATCAAAGGAGTATTTTTATTCTTGTCGGTGAACTATCGAAAACTATTATATTTACTGCTGGGCCGTTTACTAATCTTACTGTTGCTACTTTTATTAATGTAAGTGTTCAAAACGCTTTTTCTTGCACGCACACACACACAATCTCTATTATTTTACGTAAGTAGACGAAAAGCGAAATTATTAACTAAATCAAATGTTTGTTGTTATTAGTGTAATAAAGCTCTGTTTTTCCTGTAACATTTGTCTTAGTAATTTATATTTTATGGTCCCATGTGCTTCTTATGCGCACGCGCACACATTATTTAGACGAAATTATTGTGTCAATCCCAACCTTTTTAATCATTTATTTGTATATATAGAGCTAATGAAACCTTATGTAACAAAATTGACCTACTTCTTACAATAATCATAATAAATGTTGCAATTCCGTGAATCTTATTACGTCATTTGTCAATCGGGTTGAGCCTTTGTAATTAATCCACCGAAGACACTCTAGCAAAAAGCGCTTATAGCGCTACTAAACTAAATCGTCTAATTATTCCAGATACTGAAAGGCGCTTATAGCTATTACACGCTGCTTTAAGCATGAAGATTACTGAACTAACTTCATTAATGGCGATTAACTCGAACACTAGTACTATCTCTGACGTATAAAGGTCACCGCACACTAGCCGCATCTACAAAGCGTTGGTACCAGCGTATTCCTGTGATCCTTTTATGTACTCGCTACACACGGTTGGGGGTGGCCGCAGTACGCAACGTAATTAAATGTATAAAGAATGTCGGACTGTGTGCGGCATTCCTTAGTTTCCTTCATCTTTTGCCTTTCCAATTATAATTTTTTAGATATTCCTTAGCTGTTCTAGATAAAATCAATCAACGACATCGCTTACGTCTTATATTTTAAGCCGTCTTTTTATTAGTAAATATTGTAGTGTATTAAATAATAAAACTAAAAACTTTGATTTCATTCGCCATCATCTATAATGTGTACACTCTGTAAAAAATTCAGTAATCATTTTGAGTTTAGATTTTTTTTGAGATTCTTTCAGTATACAGTCTATAAAGCTATAATGAAACAATAAATCTTTAAAAAAATACTAAAAACAAACATGAAAACTTAAATAATTTGTTAAGGTCGAAGTTAGGCAGCAGCAAAATTAATAAAGTTATTTCTTCGTAGATTTAAATTACGTCCAGATTATATTTCGATCTTAAATATATTTTATGATTAAAAAACTATATTTTATTTCACTTTTTAATTCATTTCTATGGTATAATACGCCACTATAGGAGCCGGAATAATTATTACGCCAATCAGCCACTATCAATCTATCAATTGATTATAATTATAGAATTCCAGTTATCTTGTTTAGGTCGCATATACACCAGGTATCACCTCCATCACCCCCTTTCATCGGGCGAGTCCCATGTTTGTCTGTCCGCTTCTAAAAAAGGTTTTAATAAATAAAGTCGACGACAATATAATTGCATACTTGCTCGCGAGTTCATCCACGTGGAATAGTTATTTCGGCGTTTATTAATAAACCTCTGAGGAGTATAAAGTATAGACATCACTCAAGACGACGTCCGCACCTCGACATTTTTGCGTGTCAATTGTTTTTTTGTTTCGTAAACCGTTTTCGCAGCGGACACAACTGAAGTCTTCAAAGATGAACAGTTTTCCTTAATTTTCTATATTATATTCACCTCTGTTTCTTCGCTCCTATTAGTTGTAGCCTAATGTTTTATAGCCTTAAGCCTTCTTCGATAAGTGGTCTAACTAAAAAAATAAATTTAGATTCTAATTGAGATTAACGCGTAAACAAACAAACTCTTCAGCTTTATAATATTTGGTTACTTTAAAACTATATATTTGGCTGGGAAAAAAAATGTGGTTTCCTAAGAAATTAATTTTATTTTTACATTGCCCGCCCGGTGTTATAACTTTCCTTAAACTCAACATAGCCAACAGTAACAACGCACGTACGCAGATCGCACACATCAGGTAAAATACATCCCGAGTTTAGACAGGGGCTCAGCAAAAACAAGGAAATGTAACTTTGTTCATACAATAGATATCGATCTGGTGTTCGCATCGTATTTCCAACTAAACCAATAAAGTACACAGAATTACAGCTAGCCTTTCCCATTATTATATTTTCAATAGGCGTTCTTCTCGCGGCCGATATTTCTTACTTTGTCCGCGTAAAAGTTTTAACAGAATATAAGAGAAGGGTATTTATTTCTGGATTAAATATACCCTTAAAATTAGTATACCTTGGTCTAGTTTAAACAAAATAATAATATTCTTGATTAATTAAGTACTGTCTATAGTTTACGCGAGTAGTACACATTTAAATAAAACACTTTAACGGTTTAAAACGCGATATACATTAGTTAAACTTTATTTAACTACGGCTTAACGTTTCGGATGCTGTTGGTGGTCACGAGGAGATTAAAGATGGAGGGTGTCTCTGACGTCAAAGTAAAAAACTGCGGTAGCGCAATCTTATTTGGCGAAACTGGCCCCCAAGTAATAAGTTCAACAAATATATCGCGTTTCAAACCGTTAGTGTTTCATTTAAATGTGTACTACTCGCTTAAACTGCAGACAGTATTTACTTAAATTAAATTGAAAGTTTACGTTCTCTAAATCGACAAGCGAATCTTATCGTATTATTCTAAATAATGTAATCAAAACTAATTTTAGAACTAATATGCTACTTATAATCTTAAAGAACTTCAAGTACCTCGTAATTAATCCGGCATAAAGCCAAAACTCAAGTGACAAAGCCTCGCCGAAGAAAATCCAAGCATGAAGATGCTAAGACGTACAAACTGCTAACCCGCCTAAAGCCAAGTGCAATTGTGTAATGCACGCTGTCACGCGCTACGTGACAGTAACCGGTTGGAATTAGGCTTCGCGCACACTCATAGCGAGCTTTGTAAAGCGATACTTCGCTCCTTACTGAAAATCGTAGCTATATTAATGGCTGTGTGATTAAATAGTTTTTAATGACCACGAGTAATATGGAAGGATTATTAGTACACTAGCAACGTACTTTTGATATTTCAAAATATTTAGACGAAATTTGATTACCCCAGATTTGTGAAATAATGTTAAAAGATAGACTTGTACTGCCTTGGACATTTTTAATATAAGAATAGTTCTTGCACACATTATTTTATTTGGATATATAGAACTGTTTTCGCAGAGCACGTGTTAGATTATTCCGATAATTTAAGTTCTTTTGTTACACTAAGTTATGTTTTAATCTCAATTTGTCTCTAAAGTCATACAGATATTCTATAAATATTACAAAATTGTATTAAGACAAATGTAAATGTAACCGTTTAATAATTATAACTATATAACAACTTATTAACATGTGAAACCGAATTAGTACATTATAAATACAGTGCCCTGTTTAAGACATACAATTATAACTCATTTTGAATCATGTATTTTATGTAAAGCTTTTCTTTATAAATAAGACGATTTAGTTACTGATAAAACGATTGTTCAACCAAATTTATAATTTTACTATTTAATTTTTGTATAAATGTATTATGTTAGTTTTACGTTGAAATGATGCAACATCAATATGGAATTGCATCATCCGATATGACGTCACTGGGCCCATAGAATGGCGCCCTAGCATTTCCGCCCCGCACACTCACTCCCGCGAAGCCACAGCGGACGGACCTAAATCGAGGAAAACCCTACACAGAAGTGAAATGACGCAACATCAATATGGAATTGCATCATCCGATATGACGTGACTGGCCCCATATAATGGCGCCTAAATTGAGAAAAACCCTACACAGAAGCGAGATGCCATACCAAACGGACTTAAGTTAAGTGAGCCCTAGCTTGTCTTTAGTTTATGTGTCTATTGTTATTTTCGCGATAGTAAAAGTAAGTGTATATTTGTTTAACGCTCACTGTATATAAATTAAAGCAATATTGTGTCAACCATATTCATGTCTTCTTATTTATGTATCAGTTTACAATTTTTAATTAAAAGCATTTTATACACAAATTATATTTTGATATACATATATAGCCCACTAATCTACAATAATAATATCAAAATTTTATTTAATCTTTTACACGCAACGAAAACAGACAAAGATATATAGAAACTATTTTGTTTACCTTTTGTTAAAGCTGCTTCTTCTAATAACCTATACTAGTGATTTATAGTGAAATGACAAAAACAAAGCTATTCGTGAGTCCTTGCCTTTATACAAAATATGTTCACAGTTGCAAACTCAACCTTATCTTTTAGTTTCAACACGGATTTTCATGTTTAGCGCAGATTTAGTTACTGTAGTTAATATTGTACATCATGCTTAGAATACGAAATAGTGAAGATTTACATCGTTGAATATGAAATCTTTACTACAATATAAAGCTCTACAGTTTGTTTGTATGTTTAAATGCGCTACTCTCAGGAAGTGCTATCTAGGAAAAAAAAATCTGTGTTGGTGGTCTTTTTCTTTTGGTGTTGGTTACAGCACTTATCGAGATAGGCTATGAAATAGACACAGCGAGAAATAAAAATAAAAATTGGAATATTAATCACCATTATGCTTCCGAGGCGTAAGCTGCAAATACGGTTATAGATACCCAAAAATTATGTATATTCAAGAATGATATCACTTTAAATGATCTAAAAATGAGGTCCGCGACGCTATATGTCTAAATATCTGAATGAATAAACAAATAAATAAATCTTTTAAGATAAGAGAAAGAACGATGAAAAGGGGGGGTAAGATTTTTAATACTCTATCCTATGAAGAGACCCCCATTGTTTTAATCATTCCCAGCTGTGGGAATAATTAAAACAATATATTACAAGAGTTGCCGGAATTTGCAGCATAAATTTATGTATTTGCTTCATAATTAAGGTATCTGGAACTATTAGCTAACACTAGGAGTTATTATCTCGCAAATAGTGTATAGTTTGTTCAATGTATAAGCATGTGCAAAAATATATGACAAAAATTATGTATTTATCTCGCACCCATTAAAAACCTTTAACAATATTGGAAAGCTGAAGAGTTTGTTTGTACGCCTCAGAAACTGGTTCGAATTGAAAAAATCTTATTGTATTGATGTCGATCGATAGAGCATCCATAGGGATTTTTAGGCTAGAAAACATCATGTTGCAACTATTAATAGAGAAAAAATAGTGGGAAATTTGGAAATATTCATATTTGACGGTTTCCATTGCGTCTGCTGTGAATTGGATGAAGACACGGCAAAAATATGTATAAAATAAGTATTTCGTTTTAAATAATTCAATAAAACTCTCGGGACAGTATACCTTATGAGATTTAACTCACAAGAACCGTGGTTTCCAACAAAGCTATGGTCACTGCATACATTTAAAACTGTGTTAAGACGTTCTTGAAATATTTCAAGACTTTATAAATCTTACAGTGAAAACAAAGACTGACCTAAATATACGTAACTCATTCACAACGAACATACCGAATGTTGAATATGTATGGAAACGTTCATTTTTCTTCTGTGTATAAATCGTACACTGCGTTAGATGTATCCTCGCTTAT